AAAAGAATCGTATCACGAACTTTTTTCAAGATCAGAGTGGTAACGGTATTTAACCAATGTTGTCTGCAGAAAACTATTAACACCTTTACTTGAAAGATATGTGAGATATTGACTGAATCCTCGGTACAAGGTTAACCATTGGGTATACCAGTTATTTGCATTACGCTTCATTAAACCATGTTTATGTTCTATTTCAGCTTGATTACAGAAGCATTAACCACATAGCTCACCGTTTTACTGATAGGTCTTTAATGTTGTTTTGTCTCGCGATAAACAAATACAGCAAGTACGAAAATGAATGGTATCTGCATTTGAGAGTCAAGGATCAATCACAGCTTGAAGGAATCATATGCCATTTTTGGTTTAATTTAGTCCTTCAGACTGTCCTGAGAAAAACTATCAAATAAATTACAAAGGGAGCGATCAATCGAAGGATCGTGACTCGCTATTACTGTTACAACAAATTGCAGTGTCCAGGGCACTTTAAGTGATTGCTGCCAATGTCAATTCAATGTCCATAATATACGGGTGGAAGAAAGTTGTAGCTAGCTGATAAGTAATGCTCAATAATGGTCGACTTTAACCACAAAAGAAGCTGAGCTAGTGTGAAAAGTCAAATGAAAGGAGAATAATCTCATCTGACACACCATGTGACAAAACTGGACAACTAATACGATCAAAACAATCACAAGGGATGCGAACAAACTGAAGTGTGTCAAAAACTGGTCAGCAAGAAATGATACTTCATGATTACTCTTAGGCCCCTTCGGAATTTATGTCATAACTATTTTAAATATTCTGTTTCCTGTCTCATGTTCGCATAAAACTATCAAACAAAACAAACAATTTACCAAGATGCCCGACTCGTCTTTTTCGAACGCATCCTTTATCTGCTGCCCCAATTCTCCTTCCGGAATCTTCAGATCACTCTTTTCGTTCAGAGTATCCATGTCCAATATCGATACAAAACCATCGTCGTTGATTGCCATTAACTAGTTATAGAACGCAGGTTTTAAGAAAGCACTTGATATGGTGAATTTTTAGATTCGTTTTAAATAATCAGGATGAGTCACATTCTGACAAATGAAGCATTCGGCACAGTGGCTCTAATACAGAATTAACCGTCGTCACTTTTAATATACTAAATTTCATAACTGAAAGTCAGAACTAGTACCAAATTTTCGAAATGTTGAAGCACCTTTTGGAAATCAGATAAAGCACGAAAAAATATTAGTAACTTACTTGATAGTCCTTTCGTTTAATGACAGGAACGTCCATATTGTGAGTAGATGGGCAAATATCTTCATACTTCTTCCCAGTAAATATATCAATTCCAACCAGATGAACCTAAATTCTCGAATGACAAACGGATATCGACTGTATTTTCCGTGCCTTCTAGGTATTGAACAGATCATAAAAATTTCATACATTCCAATTTAATAAATTATTGGCACAATCTTTACAGAACCAGTTGAGTATATTTGGATAACACTCGCTTTCACTGATTTAAAAAGACGTGGCTTTACCTTACATCTTAACAATATACTAAAACAAACGTAACATAATTTTCCGCTTTGAGAGAATTTACGATAACAACTTCACGCATAATTTTTCGGTCTAGTACGGTTCCAACGGTATCCATGATGTTTATTTACGGAAACAAGGAGTGAAAGGTTAACATTCTTTCTATTACTTCGTTTGTTCTGTGCCAAAAATTACGAGTCACTATGCGGAAAAAGCTAACAAAATTTTCCGAAATACCACCGTCGTGGATGCAAATATAAATATGTTACATCTGTGAAGACATTGTATTAATTTCAATTAAAAATCACCGTGCTAAATAGGGATGGAGAAAAATTTACAAGCATTATTTTAACTTGATTAATATAGCCTATGATTCCAATCATTTTAAGTCGGATTTATCGTCAATTAATCTTTACAGCGCATGAAATCAGTAATGCCTCAAAAATCGCCCATCTCGATCAAGAAATACTTTAAGACCCAGCAAGAATACACTCCTCGGTACTTTACTAGAAATGTAAAAACCAATTCTGACTGCTGCTCGTAAAGCATAATTCAGATTCTGAAGTTGGCTTACAAGTCTGCAAAAGTTGAAGGTGCCTTCTGACATTTTGAATAGTCAAACATGACGCAGGAAAAAAATACTAGACTTCAGATGACACCTGAGAATACTAGACACCCACTGTCGTGACAGCTAATACTACACCTAAAGTCTGTCAAATACTCGTTGAGAAACAGCGGTTGCGACGCATGATTCGCTGCAATATTCTACATTAAGATACAAAAATCCGTCTACGGGGCCGTATGCTTCTAACTGCAGTAAAAACAACATAAGCCGAATGCGTGTATAAACGAGCGTCACCTACTGCCCATCGAGTAAAGTTTAACAAATTATTTAGAAATACTACAACTCACTGATAGCATGTCGTCGCGGTGATATTAAAAGACCAAATAAATAGGATCAAAGGCATGATGCACGAGTGATGCATAACGTGAATCGCAAAGTAACCATGTAGCTTGAAATGATACTTGAGTCGCATTAATCTACTTTTAAAGTAAACCTTCTACAACACTGACGACGAAACTACGCAACGAAAATATCGCATTTAGACAACGAATCAGCACAACATATAATTGATCTCTCGTTCTTACCTTGGCGTGTCCATGTTTTCCGGTCTTAGAAGTCGACATTTCCATAATTTTGCATGGACGCCCCTTCAATAAGACGTGCTCATTCCTACGAAGGGCCGAACACTGCTTAGGAAAGGTATGCGAGGCCCCCGAATCACCAGTCTCAAAGTGATGATCATCGTGCAATTCATCGGCCATAGCTAAATAAAACAAGCGTGTAAGTGTTAATCTGTTAAACTTACTCGCACTGTATAAACATATTATACATAAAACAACAGGCGATCAAAATTTTTACTCATTAACTACCATCTGCCATATCGATTCATTAATGTATCCATTCAAACTCAATGACGCTACAGATACGGAAGCCATACTGTGAAAATAACTTCAAGTAGGCAACAACGTATATCACAGACAAGCATCCCAAGTTACTATTTCTTATACCAAGATTGGTACTGTCTCACAAGTTGAATATCAATAATCACTCATATGACCATATCAAATAACATGGAGACGTAAAATGCATTAGTAGAAACTTAGGTAACTACAATCGAAACTAAAATGCAGCTGAATCTTATCTTGAATGGGATATTCATCATTTGAAAAGTAGGAGTTTTCGAACATTGTACGATATTAATGCGGTAGCATTTGTGCTAGTTGTGCCATTGAATTCATCACCTTCAGCCGTTTCCATAGGCAGAACACCTCTGCTTTCTGATGTCCGCTGATTCCGCAGAGTTACAACAGGTTCGTCGAGGGAAACAGGTTACTGTCTCACTAAATGAAATATCATTGACCGAATGCAGATCAGCCTCCGCGTTGCAACTGATTTCTTTCTAAACGTTCGCCAAGTTTCGGCTCCCCCAGAAGAAACTCACGGGTTAGAGAAAATGGTGTATAATCAAGGAAACTGTTTTACATTCTCAACTTTCTTCAATGAATTTCCATACCTACCGAGGCCGTGAGTACACGGAATAGAATAGAGTCATCCCTTATGTTATCTTACCGTTTGTCTTTGATTGTTATTCGAAGCCAGCGTTGTTGCATGTATCTCAGCATTTGTTCTTACTCCTTAGTTGGGACAAATATTTCAGTTATGCGTAACAACACTGCACAGAGGCAGTGTGCAGGACGATTTCGTAGGAAGAGTAAATCCAAAATTTTGGACAAGTTTCCAATAGCACTCGAAGTTACGGCGACATTCTATGACTGCATAGTACTATCACTAAAAAAGATGAAGCCGAAATACATATACAGTCAACCTCCTAATGGTTTCACTTCCCTGTTCAACTTGTCGATTTGTTATAATTCACCATATAAGGATTATCAGCTCAAAAAATTTCGTTCATGATGTCATGTGCGAGGTCAATCTAGCGGACGAAGTGATGCGAGATGGCTCTGCCATTGCAGGTGTTTTGAGTCACGGACCTCTTAAATGTCCATTCTGGGAAAATAAGAACAAGGAAGCTGCGCAGCATGCCATGAAATCTTGTCCTAGATGAGTCACTCATTATTCTATGTACATGAGTGTAAAAACAGCTTATGACGAGTGAGGCCTTTAAAAACAGCATATCATATGTGGGTAGACAAATGTTAAGTTTTAATTGGCGAATCAAATTTATCAAGATATTCATTCGTTCACATTTGTGTGCATCCAGCTTTACTCTTATGCTTCCAATGATACGCGCTTGTGTCGTTGCATGCTTTCGACGCAGTTACTTTCCTAGTTTCCGTCGAGGCTTGCATAATTTCTTTTAGAAATCCTGCAGAGGAGCGTTATTCAGCTATTTCGGCGAGATTGTTTCGAGAAGGCAAAGCCGCATGACTCACATGAATAATGGCTACGTTGATGATTGATTTATTGTCTTTCACTTCAATATCAATTAAATTCTGGGAGTTCTAGGGTTTAATACAATGAGTTACGCTATTAGAGGAAGCAGAAAAGTTTAATAGCGATCAGTGATTGACAAATTTTTTGGAAGTTTCAGCAACAGTTCAAGACCGGAGCACCTTCAGGATGATGCAGGAGAGGACAGCTGTCTCACTGGCGCCACGATAAGTTCATACATTTGGACGCATCTGACGCAAAGGTGCGTGCGTTCAGTGGAAATTCTAAACGGATCAATCAAATGTTAAATCTTTTGGAATATGATGATAAAACACACATCGGTGCTTATGCAAACTATGTGGTACAGACACTGTACATTTATTCGCTCAACTTTTATTCAGAAATTCTGCACTCTGCGAGGTGACAGGTTCTGTAGACGCATCAAAGCGTTGCACTACTCATCAAGAACTACTGAGGCAAGTAATGCTCATAAGAAATTGTCTTGAGAGTGCAAGTTTTTGATATGGAGTCCCGGCTACATGGTTAAGATTAAACTTTTTAACAATCTGTCGAACAGTTTCATTTATGATTTTTTGTATTCAGAAGCTGGTGGATGAAGAAAGCCGTCAACGATTTTATGCAATTTTAACAGTCTGAATCTGGAACTGTTTAGGATTTTCATCGCTGGCAAAGCGAATATTAAATTCATCTCGTTTAGTTATGACTCATCTTGAAGTATGAATGTTTTCAAGGCAAGCACAGATGCAGTGGGTTGTCAAAGCTAGTTACTGGAATGCAATCAGAGTCTAGTATGTCAGAACATTGCATTCGTTGAATGGTAAACCAACTGTGGGGCGACACAGCATATTTGGATTAAACAAAAAATTCAAAGCATCAAACAGTATTGCATATATGCAAGACGTAGTAAATCATCAACAAAGAACCTCTTTTTACTACTAATTGCTTCACACCCATTAGGCATCATTAAGCTGCAGTTTCTGCATAACCATCCAGCTAGTACGTAGATGAAGTTTGATGGTTTTCGGGTAAAGAAAGGGTACACAAGTTTTACTGCAGACTAATACGATTGAGCTAGTAGATAAAGGAGCTTTCAAAATGGGATTCAAAGTGTGCATGATGTTAGTTGGCAGATGCCCGAGCACCACATCTTCAGAGTTTGTCGCAAGGCAAACAACTTCAACCAAAGCGTTGCACACCTTCATAATTGATCCCATCTTAAAGTAAATTTCTGGTCTCTATCGGTAGTGACAAAGCAGTAAACTAGGTGGAAAGTCGGGAGATAGTGTGTCAAAGGTAAAATTGACATTAGTGTATGCTTCAGCTGATCAACGCCGCTTTTCGGTTTTGCAACAGCAGAAGCTTGGGCCTAATAGAAACCTACTTGCTGTGATGAAGTTGCATTATGCGTATCACGACTCGACGGAAATATAAATATTACGTGCAACACTTAGCCCATTCTAAGTCATAGTTAAAGCATATAAATGAAGTGATATTCGTTGATTCTGTGGCTCATATGGATATCATTGCGTTCCAAGTCATGCTTCTTTTGGTTATGACGCCAACAGGAGATGAACATATAGGAATGGTGGCTATTAAGTAGATGACTAAGAACGATTACAGCCTGACGTTCGTTCTACTGCCTCAGATTTTGGACATGACGCTTTGTCGCCGATCTTTATAGGTAGAAACGAGTCCGAGTCACCGGGATGCCCTAAGAATGGCAGTGTTATTATACAACGTTTATTTTGTTGATTATAATGACTCACCTTTCCGTTTATTGCCAACCATCGACTCTGCAGTTTTCAT